GTGTTAATGAATAGTACCCAGCCCTACCGATACTACTGATGTCGGCCGTCGGTAGATATGTTTGGTTTTTTTAAAAAGGGAAATTTGTCGCACACCGACGAAATAAAAATGACTGTTAGGCCGCCGGCTATTGAAGACTTGCCGTGTCGGTGTAGCCGGAGGGAGGCTAACGGAAGAGTTCAAGTAGCCGGAAATTCCGGCCGGAGCCGAAAAACTTTCAGCCCTGAGTCCCACCGGAAAATATATTTTCTGTCGGAAGTGTCTACATTCTCTAACATTAGAGAATGTATACAAGCTGTCTACGTTCTCTAACGAATAAAAAAAAAGTAACAATATTAAGCCTTTAGGGCCCTATTTGAACTTCCGGATAAGACTAGGCTACTTTTCAATCTTTCTTTTTTCCAAATTGATTTATATTATGTTTTGTCGTTAGAACTACGTCAAATAGGTCCGCCAGTAAACTCCTTAGGTTATATTGGGTTATTTCATGCACTAGATCTGGGCCTATTGTAGACCTAGCGTTGATATGACTGACTCACAGAATTCTACACTAAGTGTAGAATTCTGTGGACTGACTTGACCTTGACCCACGTGATTTGATTTTATGACAATGATACACAGAATTCTACACTTAGTGTAGAATTCTGTGCAATGATATCACATAAAAAAACCCAAATCGGCAATGTTTTTCCACACATGTGAATTTGACATCATTTATGATGGTCTCTCACGTTGTATCGCATAGGCCTAACCTTGGCTTTGAGGTGGGAATACGAAATCGCATGTAAACTGCAAGCTATCTTCTAAATGCATTATATTACAGAAGGCCTGATCTTCAGTGACTTATTCAAAGTTTTGTGTGTGTGTGGGGGGGGGGGGGGGTCATCAGGGTGCACCTTCCTTGGGTGAAAAGTGTAGGCCTACAACATATTATTAGGAAAAGGGGGTGGGGGGTGGTGTCATTTCGATGGAATGATAGAACGTGTTGGTTGCTCTTTGGGGGTTAACGTGGCTGTAAAGGCAAGATGCGGTACTGTAGACAGCTTTACTTTCGCGAGCATTTTAATTTCGCAGAAGTAAACGTAATAGTTTGCGAAAATAAAGTGTGAGCACTGTGGAAGCAGCAATGGAGAGAGAGAGAGAGAGAGAGAGAGAGAGAGAGAGAGAGAGAGAGAGAGAG